ACAATTCGCCCTCTCGCCCGGTGGCCACCTGGGCGCGGCGCGTGGACATGCGGCCGTTGAAGCTGCGCCGTCGTGCTTTGGCGCGCTCGCAATATCAAGAAAGGTACGCGCCACATGGTTCCGCGGAGGCGTTGCGCAGCCCGGGGTCGCCGTCCGCAACCTCTTCACCGAAGGTGCTGATAGTGTCAGCGTCGGTGCGCGAGTCGACGTCTGCCGCCGGGAATGCCCCCTGCGCTGGCGACGCCATGCCGGCGCTGACGGTGGCTGAAGGCGCAGGCGGGCTTCGCGCCGATGCTGGCGCAGCTGGGCCCGCGCCGTCCAAGCGCGATATAGCTAAGGCGCCACAGGCGCCCTGGACCTGATCTCGAGCGGGCGCGTTCGCAAGGTGCGCCGTTGGGCAGAGTGGGCCTCCGCGGCGAGGTCGCCTGGCGACCCCTCGACCACGCGCCCAGAGCGCCGCGGCAAGCCCGTCGCGCGCGTGAGATGCTGGGCGTTCGCGGGGCAGGCCGTGTTGCAGCGCTGCAGAAGGTCATGACCACTTGGATCTCCAACGCGTCAGCGGCGCGCAGCAAGAGGAAGCCGAGGCCCTCGTAGCCGAATTGACCAGCCTGCTGCGCCCGTCTGCGAAGGATGTCAAATCGCGCGAGGAGCTTGTCGATGCGCTTCTCCGGCAGTCTGTTCAAGTTAATGAACGCTAGCACTGCCGAGGTGCACTGTTCCTCGCCCAGTTGGCCCCGCCGTTCGGCAGAACTGTGCATCGGGAAGATCATCGGTGGCGCTGGGTTGCCGCTGATGAATCCTTCTTGCATTAGGACACCTGGCGGCCATGCGCCCACGTCCTCGCGCGCCATGTCGGCGGAGCGGGACGAGACGCACGCCGCCTAGCAAAACTCGTCGAGGTCTGGGTTGGCCACTGACCAAATCATGACATACCGCGCCAACTTCTGGAGGTCTCGCACGTTGCCGCTGCTTCCACCTGCGTCCATGCAGGAGATGCAGCTGGCGATGAAAACCATGCCCACTCCGAAGGCCTTGAATCTGGAACGTAAGTCTCTCCGCGTGTCTTACAGGCGCTGGAGGCAGGGGATACACGAGCGGCGCTGCTCGGGAAGTGTGCCTCCGAGCCGCCGTTGACACTTGCTCCGAATACTTTCCTCCTCGTCTGCGTATTGGGCGTATACTTCCGTCTCGTGGTTGTGGTGCGCTCGGTACTCGGGTCATCCCGTGACACGATCACGGGAATGCTTCTCGTTCGTCGTGCTGTCGCTGTTCTGAACACCGCCCACTGTACAATCAGCAAAAACAATGCGCCTCGGAACCCAGTCCTGCCAGGCTGCGGGGAATGAACGAGTAAGGTGGAAGGTCGAGTACCAAAGAACAAAAATACGGGTTTCCCAGTTCCGATGCGCTGTTCTTCGGATGGCCGGCGACACGGTCGCCAAGCCCCCCCTTCCCTCCCCGCTCCTCTGTGCTTCATCCTCCCAGGACTCTCGCGACACGGTCACCAGAAGCTCGGGGCCCTCAAAAGACACCGAAAATGTGAAAGCAGCTGTTCGATATTTGCGGCTACGCCCACGAGCGGGTGCATTGACAGCGTGGGGTCCGCGAGCTGCGCTGGCGTAGTCGGCGCAAGCCCGGGAGGGATCGCTGAAAACTCGGGCGCGCGGCCAATGTCCTTGTAGGTCTCGTACTTTTTGGGGTAGGTGTGCGCCTTTCCCGTCGCTGGTTCTGGCGGATGGGCGGACGCCCCGACGGACCCGTGAGTGACGACGTTTCCTGCCACGACGAACGGGCATAAGGGGATGAGGGCGAGTGTCCACCGAGATGACCAACTGGATGTAGAGCGGGACGGTGTAGAGCGGCGGAGAGATGGAGCCTGTGCTGTCGAAACGAAGCGAGAACGAGAAGCCATTGCAGCCGTGGTGTTGGAGCTGAAGTTACAATACCAACTAAACATACAGTAAAACATGATATGACAAAAAGGCGAGGCGTTTCCTGAAGGGAGAAGGTACGACATGTACAATGTCTGAGATGAGACTGACGCGAACGCGGTAAAATGCGTTCCTGGGCCCCAAACGGCGGCGGATGAAAAGCAGCAGCCGCAGACAAGGCACGAGGTGAATCGGGCAAAATGGATCCCGTTCGAATCAGGAACAATAGAGGGGGATGAGGGCAGAGGAGGTGGAGGAGGAGTACGAACAACACTGCGGAAGCTGAAGGAGGGGCAGGGACGAGACGAACCGCGGCGGCTGGAGCTTTATTGAAAAGGAGCGGGAAGAGCAGGAGGACCTAGGTGAAGGCAGAGGAGGGGAAGGGAGGAGGATTCGGATCGAGAAATTTGGCCCGCATTGAACGCGCCATCCTGAACGACGGGAGCAAGGCGCCGATCCGAACATGAGGCCCACGCTGCAGCGAGAGCGCCATTTCGCTACACCGAAAACAATCGGCTTGCACAACAAACCACGGAAAACAAACCACCGTTGTCCAAACGTGTATGAGAAAACAGTGCGCGAGAGAACCCCGGGAGAGAGGAACGTGGACAAGAAGGAGGACACAGGAAAGAAATTACAAAAAAATGGGAAGAGCACGGAGGAAGGAGGAGAAAACGGAACTTTGGAAGAAGGATAAGAAGGAAGCGGGAGGAGGAGGGTGGGAGGAAGGGAGGCGGAGCGTCAGGAAGGCTCGTCTCGTCATGAACCGCCGACCGCCCCCCGGCAGATCGACCGTTTTCCTTGCTGCCCGGGCAATAGCAAGCGCTTCCCAGTTGGAGAAAACGGTCGTTACAGCTTTGACGTGCGCTAGTCCACTGTAGAAATGAATCGACACCACGACTCGCCTGAGGCTATCGGCGCTCGCGTGAAGGAGGGCGAGCTTTGGCATGGGGCTCCAGGGAGAAGGGCACGCACCATGCTTCAGCCACAAGCCCAAGGAAGACTTCACAGCAGAAGTAGTGCTTAAGCGAATCGGGGCCCAATCAACAAACTCGACAACGGGCGTCGGGGATCTTCATCTGCGTGGACGACACCCATTCTCCGCTTCACGTTTTTGGAGCCTCCATGCGCCAAGAAGGAGGGGATCTGAAAAGCTCAGCCTGAACGCGCGCCCGCTGGACACAAATCAGATCCCCCTCTCTAATCCAAACCAAGTTTTGTGTCTGCTGCCGAGGACAGCGATGAGCGGCCCCTAAGGCCTCAAGCGTGACATCATAGATCTTCTTGCCACAAAGGATCTCTGCGTGCGCACGCGTACCGCACGAGACATACCAAGATGCGCTGACCTCTGCTGGACCGACTCTGTCCCGGACGGTTCTAGCCTCAGGGACGGCCAAGAGGGGGGTGTCCAAGAGGGGGGGGTGCAAATCATGGCTGGCGGCATGTGCGCGGCCCAGGGGGGGGGGGGCCAGGGAACGCACTGAACTAAGAAGAGGCGCCAAGAGATCTGGGAAAATATCATGGCCACCGCCGTGATATCCCCCCCCCTAGTCATCACCCCCCTCTTTGCCGCCCCCGATGGCCAATCCCGACAACACATGAGGGAGCCGGGTCTGACCCTGCGAGAGGCCGTTTCCAGCAGCATCCCGAGCCTCCCAGGCCATCGCCGGCGACTGCCAGAAGCCAGGCCAGGGAGCGGCGCGGCGTGCCTCTCTATGAACCTCGCATATCGGCAGGTGCCGCCTCGCAGCCCCAAGATGCTTGCGCGCTGCACCCCGACAGCAGGTTAAAAGTTTCAGAGGCCGGGGAGGGGCGTGAGGAGGGGGCCGAGGGGAGCGGGAAGGGGGGGCAGGGAGGAGGTTGGAGGGAGGGCGGGAGATGGGATGGGGGATTCGGTGGAGGAGTAAGGGGATACGACGAGGGAGGGAGGGGAGGAGAAGAAGGAGGAGAAGGAAGGGATGAGGGATAGGGATTAGATGGGTATTAGAGGATAGTGAGGAGGAAGAAGGGGAGGAGGATGAGGAGGAAGAGGAGGAGGGGGACGACGACGAGATGACGAGGATGAGAAGGATAATCAGAAAGCGGAGGGGGAAGCGGAGGAGGAGGACGTGAAGGAAGATGAGGAAGGAGGAGAGATGTGGGAAGTGTAGGACTAGGAGGAGGAAGGAAGAGGAGGAGGAGGGAGGATGAGAAAGGAGGAAGGAGGAGGATGAGGAAGGAAGAGGGTGAGGAAGGAGGAAGAGGAGGAGGAGGAGGAGGAGGAGGAGGAAGGTGGAGAGATGAAGGAGGATGAGGAAGGAGGAGGGAGAAGCAACCAAGAGGATCGTTGTGAGGAGAGCGAGGTGTAAGGAGGGAGGGGCCGAGAGAGGGAGCAGCGACAGCAGGGGTAGCACGAGAAGGAGATCCCTCCGAGGGCTCCCCGAAGGGCCCCCAGCCCCAGGGGGGGCTCCTGAGGCCACGAAGGTGTCAACAACGCTCAAAACCACGAGCCCTCCTGCGCGCCCCACTGCCCCGGACGAGCCTCTGGAGCCGCTGCCACCTCCGGCGTCGTCGTCGCCCTGGTCGGGGCCTCCGCCTCCGCCTCCGCCTCCGCCTCCGCCTCCGCCTCCGCCTCCTCCTCCTCCTCCTCCTCCTACTCCTCATCCTCTCCCTCCTCCTCCTCCTCCGCCTCCTCCTCCTCCTCCTCATCCTCCTCCCCCTGCTCCCCCCCATCCACCGTGGTGAGTGCGCGTGATCGTAGCATGCCGTCGTCGTCGTAGCCCTCCTCCTCGTCTTCATCGCCGACGCCGCAGTCGCCGCGGGGAGCCGTGGCCGGCCCGCCGAGGGCCGTGGAAGGGCCGCCAGGGGCCGCGGAGGAGTCGACGCCGACGCCGACGCCGACGCCGACGCCGACGCCGACGGCGACGGCGACGGCGGCGACGACGAGGACGACGACGACGATGACGACGACGACGACGACGACGACGACGACGACGACGACGGCGACGACGAGGACGACAACGACGACGACGACGACGACGACGGCGACGACGAGGGCGACAACGACGACGACGATGGCGACGACGTGACCAGCGTGAGGCCGTCAGCGCCCCAGGAGGCGCCCACGAGCGGCGGCAGGTGCGACAGGCCCGTCAGGCGGAACGTCTCGGCCGCCGAGGCCGCCCCTGGGGTTCTCGGGGGAGGGGGAGGCGCCGCGGAGGGCAGATCGACCAGGGTCTATTTCGTCGGGAAGTTGTTTACGACGACACACCAGATTAACCAGTGTGAGCAATACGTTCTCGCTGGCGAGCTTCTCTTCTGCCCGTTCCATGCCGAATCTCGATGCCGCCCTCCGTGGTTCACCAGAGGCGCCGTCGCCAAAAGAAAGGTCACCAACTTCAGCATGTCGCATCCACAGCGCTTCGCCGTGCCATCGCGCTGCCACGAGGAGCGCTGGGCATTTCTTCCCGCGCCGAGCACGGACCTCGGGAGGAAGAAGGGGAGGAGGAGGAGGAGGAGGAGGAGGAGGAGGAGGGAGGAGGAGGAGGAGGAGGAGGAGGAGGGAGGAGGGGGTGAGGAGGAGGAGGAGGAGGAGGAAGAAACAGAGAGAAGGAGGAGGAGGAGGAGGAGGAGGAGGAGACGGCAGGATCAGGAACGAAGGGGCCCATCTGGCCACGGCGAGCCCGGGCCACGAGCAGGCTCCCCCGACGTCGGCGTGAGGAATGGGAGGAGGAGGAGGAGGAGGAGGAGGGCGAGGAGGGCGAGGAGGGCGAGGAGGGCGAGGAGGGCGAGGAGAAGGAGGAGGAGGAGGAGGAGGAGGGCGAGGAGGGCGAGGAGGAGAGGGAGGAGAGGGAGGAGAGGGAGGAGAGGGAGGAAAGCCCAGCGCCCCTCCTGAGCCCAGGATGGCCAAATCGTTGTTTCGGCGTCTCGGCCGTATCCCCCATCCCGGTTCCTGCTGAATGAATCCTCCGCGGGACACGCCCAGACGTGTCGCCTGAGACTGCCTCGCCGCTTACGACCACGAATTTTGCGAGTCGCAGCTGCTACCAGGATGGACCGCGCATAACAGTCTTAAAAACATTGCAGCGGATGCAAGGATAGGAAACATGTGGTTTTCAAACTGGAGCTCTCGTCTTAGCACCGCGAACATTCCTCTTTAAAAGACTGAGACGCTTAGGAGGATGGGGCGAGGATCGTTAAAAAATGAGGGTATCGCCTCAGTGCCGCGCACATTCGTCGTTCAAGCTTGCAGCCTTGTTTCAAGGATGGAAGGCAAGTCGTTTTCAAAATCCGCTGGCCCTGCTGGCGTGTGTGAGACGAGTGGTCGTGGTCGTCGTCGCCCTCTTCGTCGTCGTCGTCGCCGCCGCCGCCGCTCCCTCCTTTTCCCTCGGCAATCCTGCTCAAGCGCGCCAGCCAGAGGGAAATCAGGCAACGTCGGCATGTCGTAACCGAATCGAAGGGAGCCCACCTTCCCTCGGAGCCTTTCCCCTGTGGGACGGGGTTCCCCCCCCCCAGGGGGGGGAGCCAGGGGGTCGCGGGGGGGTGGGGAGGATGGGAGGGGATCCGCGGGGTGCGTCGCCTCCCCCACCCGGCCTCAAGAGGCCTCCACATAGCGCAAGGAGGATTCGGCCTCGCTGAAGGTACCCCAAAACTGTTCAAGATAGCCTCCTGCATGCGCCCAAGAGGCCGCAGGTCCTCTCCAAGGCGGCGCCCAGTGGCCACGGAGCTTCTCACGGAACCCCCCAGGAGGCGAAAATCATTCAAAACCAGATCGTGATCTCCCATCTTGCGAGCTTTCACACTTTTTCGAGTTCGAAGGGCTCCTGAGGCCTCAAGATGGCGCCAAGATGGCCCAAAAAGCGTCCCCAGAGGCACCCGGGAGCTCCCCAAGACGGCCCCGAGAGCGCCTGAGAGCGCCTCAATAACGCGTCAAGAAACCCCAAAGATGCTCAATTTGGGCACGCCGACTGAGGGAAGCGCATCGGGAACACTCCTTCTGTGATCGATGACCTCCAAGATAGCCCTAAAAGGCCTCCCAGGGCCTCCAAGAGAGCCCCAAGAGATCCCCAGGAAAGCCCCAAGAGAGGCCCAAGAGGGCCTCAGAGGACTCCACAGTAGCTTCTTGAGGGTCCCCCGAAGGCCCCAAGAGGGCCTGAGAGACCGCCAACACGGACCCACGAGGGCCCTCCGATGACCCCAAGAGGCCTGCCCCTCTCACTTTCCTCTCTCCCCTTCTCCGCTTCTCCCCTCCCCCTCCTCCCCACTCCATCCTCTTCCTCGTCCTCCTGCTCAACGTCCTACAGCTTCGTGCTACCACGCGGAACGCCATGTAAGGAACGAAGGGGCTGTCCTGGCCACGGCGAGCCTCGGCCACGAATCGGTTCCACGACCTGGATCTAAAGAACAAGCCGAACATTATAACCCCTCCTGAGCCTAAAATGGTCCTTCCTTCCGCGTCTTGACTGTACTGTCCATGTCTCCTGCTGCCCATTGCGCACAGGCTCGGCGCCACTGGCCGCAAGGCCTTCGCAATAGAGCTCCCGCCTGAACGCCGCGCACATCCTCCGTAGAAGCTTGCAACACTTGCATCAATGGGGGGCGGCCCTTTCTCAACAAATTGGGCCCGTGCGGGACTTGTTTACAATTCAAGCGCAGCCGCTTGAACATATGTAACAGGTGCATGGGGAGATGGCGGCTCCTTTGCAAACTGTGGCTATCGTATTACACTTCCTCGAAGTTTACGACGTGAACTTGCGCAACAATTGCACGGATGAAGCGCAACATTTGCTCGACACGAGAATCTCGCTGGACGTCCCGTTGAAAAGTACGATCAGGCCGAAGCGTTGCTGATCAGGCGCTAGACGAATACAATGCCCCCGACCGGCGCGGTGCGCCCGCCCTGGCGTCGCCGCTGGCCCCGGCCCTAACGCGCTGCGCGCGCCAGGGAGGAGGGTCCACTGCAGACCCAGGAAATCGAAAAAGACTTTTGAACGCTGATGCTTATGCAAGAATGTCTTCTTTGAGGGCCAAAAATGAATGTGGACGTTGTCGGACCTCTGCGGGGCTGTGGAGGCCAGCGGGGAACTGAGAGCGAGCCCCAAGAAGGCTTTGACAAAGGTCTCAGACAACTGAAGCATTCATGACTCAGAAGATGTCAAGCGGCTTCTGCCTCCCAGCTGTTCCAGCCCAGTGCGGAAAAAATTGCCCGTGAAAGGCCCAAGAAGTCTCGAGAAAGTCCCAATGTAGCTCTAGGGTGACCACACGCGGCGACCAAGATATCCCAAGAGGCCCTTCTGAGACTCCCACGGCCCCAGGAGGGCCCAAGCGACCACCAAGACGATCTGCGAGGGCTCCGAGATGGTCAAAGGTGCCTTCAATGCTCCGGCGATGGACCACGCAAGCCGCCAGGAAAGGCCCAAAGCTCCCAAACGAGGGAAGCCACAACCCTCCGTTCCTGGAGTGGCTGCCGCAACAGCTGGAGGAACGCAACGCCCGGTGGCTTGGCCAAACTCTGGCACACCGGAAGGCAGGCGAGAGGTTTCCTCGGAGCAGGGCGAGATGAGACAGCGACATCTCAAAATCGGTCCTCTTGACCTCTCCCGCGCTCCAACCCCACCAGTCTTCCGCGCTGCATCCGGCCGCTGCGATGAGGGCCCCCCCCCCGAAGGGCGTCTACCGCTGTCTCAGCTCGCGCTCCTGCGTGGTTCGTCTGGCCTTCGGGTCATACCTCTGACCTCCGGCGGCCGTTCGGGACGATCCTGGCAGCCCCAGAACGCTCTCGACGAGGCGCAGCTGCTGGAGAGCATCCGAGTCTGGAAAGCCACCGAGAATCGCCGAGAGCGTCAAGGCATCTCGAGCCTCGTTGTCTCAACGCACCCTCCTCCAACTTCCAGAACGGCAGGGGGGGAGGCGGTGACGCGTCAGGGGAGTCTTCGAAACTGCGCGCTCGGGAATTATAGAGGCCTCCTCGCTGAGGTCCGAAAAGATGGGGTCGGATGATTGCGCCGCATCCCCGATGCATCGACGACACCCGCACAGAGAAAATCGGGCTCCACATCGCGCCGCAGCGCCGATGCATCGGCGATGCGGCGCGAGCCTCCGACCCCATCTGGGAGGCCCAGAGTCGTGCTGCTGCCATACGGAACGCTAAACAAAGAACTAAGCCCCTTTGGGGCGCCAGCAACGCCTGGGTGCACGAGGAGGGCTAGAGGAACAGCCATGGAAGGACCCGAAGACCAGCGAGCCCCTTCCGAACCCGGAGCTGTCCTTCTTTCAGCGTCCCTGCCGTACGTTTGGCGTTGCACAGACAGCGTGAAGTGTCGATCTCCAAAGTGCACGCCGTTCCTGTGAGGCGATCCTCCTCGAGGGCCGCTCCTGCGTCCCACCATGCGAGCGCCTCGTCGGCGTCCCCCTGCCGGGGCCTCGCCGGTGCACGCTATCCCCAGGGAGGGGAACCATGGAGAAACAAGAACGAAGGTCCGCGCGGATGTCTTGGGTCTGCGCTGGACCCCCCGTCCCTGGCGCGCGGAGCGCAGGGGCGGCGCCGGAGGCGCCGCCAGGGCGCTCCAGCGCAGATCCAAAATCTGCGCTGAGCGCCGAAAGATTATGTTACTGCCGTTTCTTGTGCTTCGAATGCAGTGGGCGGGCCGGCGACGCCACATCGCACGCTGCAGTCGGGCTTGACTTGAGAGGACACGCGAGAAGATACGAGACACTTCTGCGTGAGCGTAGAAGGCACGGGTCTCTCCAAACAGGACACAAGGGCAGCCTGGACTTGGCAGGGTCGACGTAATCAAGGCCGACTGCGTCTTTGCAGCGCCAGCCGTAAAAGAAAATACTGCGCGGGGCCACTCTGGCGTCCTCGGCGCACCTCGCCGCGGGCGTCGTCCGTGCTCTTCGGAACGCGTTTCGGGCGCACGGTGGCTGTTCGCGACGGGGTCGGCTGGCGTACGGACTGTTTCTGTGGCGCCACGAACCAGGTGGGCGACGAAAAGAAAAGGTTCGCACGTGAGGTGACATAGCGACCTTGGGAATGGCTTCGGCGGGCCGCCGGCGCGGCACGCTGCACCTGAAACGAAGGCGCTGACGCGCGACCTTACGCAGGCGGGTTACGCGCCAATGTCGGTGAAAACGAACCCGTTTTATTTCGCCGCTCAGGTGAAAAAGGTATGTCGCCGCACCGCTT